TGGGGGGGGGGGGGGTAGTTTCCGCCGCCCTTGCCCGACCAAAAAAACAAGGAAACACCCACAACAATAAGTTTCGCAAACGTAGGTACAGCAGTACCTCCGACACCGCTCAGGACACAACGTAAGGATGGGTACAGTACTCCCAACACCGTCACGGACTAGTAGCTCAGGACACATTGTAAGCAGATGTACACGCCAAGGACTATCAATAAATAGTAGCTCAGGACACATCGGTGTGGTGACAGCGGCGTGCAAACGCATACCGGCATAATTTTTCATATGCATACATCTTTCGTTTTTGCTAAAGGTGTCGTCCCCGTTTTCTGTCAAAAGCGGAGCTGAGGAACATTTCGAGCAGCTTCGCTTACCCTGAGGAGAGGTAGCTCCTTCATGAACTCTGATCGGATGAACGCGATGTCGCTCGAGCGGCTGGATTCGAAGGATGTCGATCTTCGACTCAAAGCGGTGGACCTGACGAGACGCCGAAAGAAAGCGACACAGCACAACACACAGATCGAGCGGCATCAAGACCACGATAGACAGAAAGACGGCAACACAACGTGCCGCATCAAGACCATGATAGAGCGAATGAAAGCAACGAACAACGCATGCCATCAAGATCATGACAGACAAGAATAAACAACACACAGCGTGCTGCACGAATACCATGATAGAGCGAAAGAAAGCAACACACACCGTGCGGCATCAAGACCATGATAGACAGGAAGGACGCTACCAACAACACAAGGTTAAGGTTTCGAGGGAGCACACCCGGTGCCGCAACACACCCACTGACAGTTTCAAGTCATATGGGACGATGAGCAGCACGACGGCGGCACTTTGGGCCGGAGCTTGAGAGCACCTCCGAATTGCGGTCTGAACTAGGTCCACGACGTCATCGCGTGTCGTACCAAAGCGACACTAAGGGCCCCTCCGCATCACAGCCACATCTCGCTTGGTCCCGAAGAACACGCTTCCAACCACGCTATGTCACGCCGCACAAGCCTCTGGACCTCATGAAAACCCACATCAGGATAGGGAAAAGCCAATCTGGACAGACACACCATAAATTCCCGTTCGTTCGTGCTTTCGACGAACACACACGGAAAAGTTAGTCCAAAGCAAACGCACCTTCAGCACCACCCGGCACGTTCATTTCCCCCTTCACGACAGACAAACCAACACCAAAGGTCAGGACAAACCGTGATGCGCAAGAATGTCGAGGTTCTATTATACGTGGTTTTTCCACCGGTATGTTGCCACCGAAGACTTTTCATTGGCCAGCCGGTTAGCGCCGTAGACGAAGGAAGAACAACGCCACGCGCACAAGAAGCACAGACGCAAGTGACAAAAAACAACTCACGCGCGTCTCGGCAACTCCGGGTCGGCTACCGGAGTGTCCTCCACACCGTTGATGAGCGTCGGCGTGCTGTAAACAGCGAGAGGCCGTGAGTAGGGGGGTCGCGGGGGGTGGGGGGGGGGGACGAAGTTGGTATGATTACCAGGAGATGACACATTATACGGAAGAAGGCACAAAAAAAGTAAGGGGAGACGGCGCAAGATACCAAGACAGGGACAGTGTTGAGGTCCAAATTAGGACGGTGGTGTGCGTGGGGGGGGAGGGGGGTTGGAAGGGGCATCACGTTGTCTCAGGCGACAGATGTCCGTCACCCAACCAGCACACGAGGTGGAAAACCTGCAAGAAGGGGTGCCGAAAAGAGCCCAAAACAAGAAAAATAACGAGGCATGGCGACCACGACAAAACAACGGGGCCAAGGGTCCCCCAAACATGCATGTTTCATTGTGAAGACCGGTTGGGGGAACCCCTGCCCCCCTCCGAGGTGCCAGTCAACGAGCTTCCTTTTCCCCACAAACACACCCCCGAGCGCCGATATTGCAGTACGGACATACAAAGGTACTGGGTAGAGAGAGATCGGAACGGTTTTATGTAAAGACAACAACAACAACAACAACAACAACAACAATTGAGTGGCCCCTGACCAAGGGATTGACATGGCGCCGATCAACACGGGCTTGGCGGCGACCGTTTTTGTCTGTTCTCGTCGGTACGTGATTAGTTTCCATCACATATCTTCTCAACACTACCAAAAAAACAATATTCAGAGTACCAGTCATGGCTCCGACATACTTACTATCGGGTAGTCTTTCTGTGAGGCTATGTTTACTTTCAAAAAACAAAAAAAAAGGGTCGAAAACTGTTGTCACGTGATTCGACCCGTTTTAATATAGCTGGGTACCCTCTTTCTCCGGTGTTTTACAGGGGGCTCCGATCTAAGAAGGAATTTGTCAGACCACCCTCTTACACCGGAGCCACGACCGCACGAAGCAAGCAAAAACACGCAGACAATAGTTTTGAACTCAGGGGCTACGTATTAGGCGTTTTCTTATGCCGTGCGCCACTGCCGTGAATCTACGGCGCTACTGCCGTGAATCTACGGAGACCAAGCAAGCGCTGTGGGAAAAACGCCTCCTGCGAATTGGAGGTTCAAACCGCCCAGACCGCGCGGGCGCGCTCACAACGGACGCCCAAGCGGCTCAAAATAACGCAAGGCCGTAGATGTTTGGTAGACAAGAAAGACACCAGGAGCAGCAGCAACCCACCTCTTGACAAGCGCCCGAAACCAGCATCACACATGCCAGTGACGGACGTAGCCATGGTGCGATGGTGCGATCAAAGTCTATACCGTGTGCGTAAGACAGTCTTGCCGCAACGTACGGTTGCCGGAACGCTTCCGTAGTATACTAGCGCCGACAACACGCATGAGAAACTGAGTCTACGCTTGCGAGCGACGGCTGTACGTCTGTACATGGTTGGAACGCTCTGTCCACTAGAGCACGAGTATCCAGAAAAACTTCGCAAGCAGATCCTTCCGTGAGCCTCAAAAACAACCAAGTGAGGGCAAGTAAATGTAGACACCCATGCCGGTGAACAGACTGCATCTAGTACAGGGAATCGGTTACCCGTCGAGACTGAAGTGCTCTCTGGACAGCATTTCTGGGGCACGCTTAGATTCAACGAGAGTCACGCCGCACGGCAGGGAGCTATATACACATTACTTGCCCTGACTGGATACTTGCCCCGACTTGGTTGCTTTTGACTCTCAAGGGTGACGGAAGGGACCATCGCAGCAAGAGTAAAAGCACACACCGAAGATATCGGTCGCCCTGCTGGAAGAGACCTAAAAATCCTACCACAGCAACGCTCAAAACCTGCTGGAAGGAGGATCAACGGCGACTACACGACACCAGGCCAACATCATGATCACCTGGAAAGGATCAACGAAACCACACCATGCCCAACACCAACATCGGCTAGAAGGACGATCAACGACCACTGTGACAGCACGCCGACATCAGGATGATCAACGACCGCTACGCCAGCACGCCAACATCAAAATCACCTGGAAGAAGGGGCGACGATGCCTCCCTGCAGCTGCGCCCCCACAGGCCCCTTCATCCCCGCCGTCCCCTTCGGAGGTGGTGGTGGCATTCCTCCGCCCCCGCCGGCCGCCCCCGCCCCCCCGCCCCCGGAAAGCGCCTCCAATTGCCCCGCACCCCCCACTCGCACCCCCCCGCCGCCTCCGTTAGCGTCCCCGGCGCCCCCTGGGGGAGGATCTGCCCCCCAGGCGGCGCCGTTGCCGCCTGGTCTGCCGTTACCCGTGGCTGCGGCGGCGGCAGCGCC